GCTCCTGGGTTTGTAGGGACACTGTCTGCTCTGTGGTACAGAGTCCTGATCACTCCTAACTTGTGTTCCAGTGGGTGGTGGGAGTCAAAATGCAAATACTAGTCTGTATGGGTGGGTTTGCGATATACGTCAGTTTCCAACCGTCCTCCATCACAGTCCAGGAACGCCATCCTGCCACCTTTGACATCCTCTTGTGTGAACTTTATATATTTATCCACAGGGTTGATGTGATCAGTGAAATGTTGGACTTCCTGGGCTTTAATTTTAACCCAGGTGTCGTCAACATACCTGAACTAGTGGCTCAATGGTGTCCCTGTAAAGGACATCAGAGCTCTCTTTTCCACCTCTTCCATGTACAGGTTAAAATCAGACACCACTCTTAGCAGCAGAACCACACTTTGCACAGAACAACTGTGTCAACTTCTGAAATTATGCCTGGAATCAACCTACTTCACACATGGGGAGCAATACTATAAGCAGAAACWTGGGTGTGCTATGGGATCCCCAGTTTCCCCTATTGTTGCAAACTTTACACAGACCACATCCACTGCCTTATCAACAGGAACGCACGTAAAGAGTGATGTGACATCAAAGGAMACCATAGTTTCATCCATCTCCATGATGACATCCCTCACTTTGTTCACAAAGTCCATGAATGTGATGATCTGAAATGCCAACTAATGGACCAAGTACTGATGCTAGATATTTGGATACATTGTAAGTGACAGAGTTAGTCGTGCTAACAATAAGTCTGGTACATCCTGTGTGTGTAAGGAGAACTTGTGAGATCAGTTTTTGATATGAAGTACTTTTTTCTGGCTCATATTTGTCATTAAAATCTATAAAATTCCACAAAATGCGTTTCTCCTTTCTTATCCATCTTATGAATTTGAAAAGAAGGCCCAAATCATTGTTATTTGTTGATATAGATATTTATTAGTCAGAAATATGCAAACATCCTTACTGACTCATCTCACCGTGGGTCGGTTTACAAATAACCCAAAATAGGAATGATGCTTATCACGATGACCTAACTGGAGGTTATCATCCTTTCTGACCAACTTTTCTTATTTCCGGACGAAGCAGAATGACACCCACTCAAAGCAATCTAAGTACTATATATCTGTGAGGCTGACACAGCTGAGGCTGGAGGTTGGCAAAGTGGGGATGAGTCTCACAAGTAAGCCCGTTTGACTAATTTGCTAAGCTGCTACCTGAATGAAAGTAGATGAGGTTGGTGGGGAAAAGGTTACTGTCAGCCAACCGTGTAGGTGCTGATTTTTCACATCAAACACTTAAAAATCTGACATTCAGAAACATTTCTCTCTGATTATACAGGCAGGTATACCATGATGCTGGGTTTTTCTTTTGGGTCGTATCATGATATGATGATCCCACCCACTTTGAGGCAACACCAGTTATACAGAAAACCATTGAGACCGTGTAGACCCATAGTATTGAAGTGAGACTGGACAAAAGAAAAAACAGCTTGTGTGTCATAAACGTACCATTATAAGCAGCTGCAGGTTTCAAGTTCACCCCCCCKCCCCAAAAAAAAAACCCAACAGATGAACCTATAGCTGCCCCTCCCTCACCTTCGTCTACATCTTATTTGTCACAATTGCTCATTGTCTTGATTCGCCATCTGCTGCATACCACTAATGCACAGCGACCCCCCCGGGAGTGATGCTCCACACCTGAGGTC